CAAAAAATAATTTTAAAATATATATTAAAATGATAAATATTAATGTTATAAACGTTTTATTAAAAATATTTTTCAATATTAAAAACAAATAACAAAAAAAAAAAAAAAATACTGGAAAGAATTTAAACGTGGTCTCTCCACTATACCTTGTCACTAAATATGGAAACTCGTACGAACAGATTATGCAAATATGGCAGTATATTTTTCCATTTCAGACATTTAATACTGGTCATTTAAATATTGATATGTAGTTTTTTTATAAAGAAAGAACATAAAATATTTTTAGTAAATGTACAAAAAACGTTTTATTATTTTTTTATATTTATTTATATATTATGTTTTCGGAAATATCTAGTCTAATATACGAGAAAATAGAAGTTATATATTGAATACTAAACATTTCCTTGTACATTAAATATTTTACTTTCTAATTACAAATTTAAAAATGCACAAAATTCGCTCGTAAATTTTCTATTTTATCTTGATAATTACACAATTGAATACATTTGTAATTTTATAAAATATTCAAGCTTACATACTTGCATACTGATTAAGACATTTACAACTGAATAATTATATATATAACATTTTAAAGGTATTTAATGATTAAAATTCAGAATATTTACTGTTAAACATATTAAAAAAATTCTCAGTCCCTTATGTTCAGCTTCACTACTAAACTGTAAGTATATTAAACAGCACTCAATAAATTAAAAAATGTGCTATATTGACAATTTCCGCTTGTTTCTATGAATTAAAAAAATGTTTCATAAACTAACAATTTACAATATTTGATAATTAAAATTTAGAACATTTACTGTTATGACTATTAAAAAATTGTAGCCCCTTGAGTGCAGCTACACTGTTAAACTAATTACGCATAAGAGCTCTCAAAGGTGTTATGATGCGTTGCATTGACAAAAACGTTTAATTCTATAATTAAAAATGTTTTATAAACAACCATTAAAATATTTTAAAGGTGTTTAGTGATTAAAATGTAAAATATTTACTGTTAAACATGTTTAAAAAACATCCGTAGCCTCTTGAGTGCAGCTTCACTACTAATCTAATTATATCTAACAGCGCTCAAACGATTTAAGTGTGTTATATTGACACTTTCGTTTGTTTCTACGAATAAAATGCTTCATTAAATGCGGTTTTCAAAAAATAAAGATTCTTTATAGTATTTTTAAGTGTTAAATTTTAAAGTCGAACATAATTTATAATAAGAAAAAAAAGCCGCTGAGTCTTTTGTGTAAAGATAAAAAAATAACCATTATATATATATATATAATATCGGTACTTATTAAATTTTCTAGCTACAACTTTATTAGAGTAATACAATAAAATAACATGATGGGAAGTGTTCTTTGATTAACGATGTATAAATTGATAAGATAGATTACCTATAGTAAAGTTCGTGATCGAGTAAATCCGCATGCAAAATTAAGTAGAAAATAATGTAAAAGTTTTTATTTTAAGTTTTGTTTTCGTTGAAAATAAGTTTAAAACTTTTAAAATATTCTTTCTTTTATCTAAAAAACTGCGTATTATTGTTTTATTTACTGTCACAATTCAATTTAACTTAAGTAACTTTCACCATTCTGTTAAGAAACAGACTATGTTTTTTTTTGAAAATTTCAGTTTCTTTAACCTAATTTTAAACGTTGTTCTGCATGCAAAATTATTCAATGTTTAAAAGTAATTAATTAAAACAATATTTATATTTTTTCCCTTGATTGGCAGGTACAAGATTTATTAGCCATTAGATAAGGCATAGAAGTGAGTGGCTTTGATCATAAATATCCTATCATAAAGGTTGAATTTCTGTATAATTGAGGTTTATGATACCTATGACATGGACAGGAATGAAGTGACTATGAATTAAACAGTATTTGATGAGTTACAAGCTGCAAATAACTACTTAAGTCACGTTCGTACATTTTTACTATATCGATTAAAACTACGTTACTTTAGATATTAAATACATATTTTTACTTAAAAAATTAAGGAATTTTCTGCTATTAAAGCACGTTTTAAAGAAAAATTTCAATTTCTAATAATAAGTTCGAATTAAAATTTAATAAATTAATAACGTTAATGTTGTAAATGTTAAGTAATCTGTATATCGTGTAAGCTATAAAATACTAATTTCTTCATCTTGTAGAATGAATAATTATAAAAATATAGCAAAAAAAAGATAATATTTACATTAAATTCCAAGACGTGTTTTAATTGAAAAACAACAATATTGTCTGAAATAATACGATCAAGAACAATAATAGTGTGAGTTGCCCTAAGGCAGATAGAAAAATTTCTAAAAGTTACCTCAAAAACTTCTCGAAAACTAAGTGAAAAAATTCCATAAAAATATTTTAGATTAAATTTTAAGGTTTTTTATACATTTTATAATTAATTTATATGTAAAAGAAATAAAATATACCGTATAATAATAGCANTACTAAAAATAGAAACCGGGTATATATATATATATACACTGTAATAAAGATAATAATATGGTTATTATTGTAAAATTCTATTTATAATAAAATTTGAATATATTTTTAAAGTTACAAATATTTGTAGCGAAGTTTTAAAACGAAAATCGAAGAAAAACAACTTTAACGAGCAAATAAAATCGACAATCCAATTTACTTAGTTGATAAAAATTATGCTCTATCAAGGAACTTCAAAGATTTCCTTACGATCAAATAAGAATAGTTATTTTTCTGTAAAAGGATTTAAAGTAGATTGGTAGAAATTCTTCTGGTAAACAGTTCTTTTTGACATTTTGTATGGAAACCTTAATGTTAGGACATTAAATAAATAGAAATTGTATGATCCATGCAATGGAATTCCAATTACTAACCAATCACACGATGGCCATTAGAATCAGTCATAAAATAAAAAAAAATAAAAAACATATATATGTACCTTAGTTTCTTGGTGACCCAGTTGACAATATAAGATAAAATAAATATAAAAAATTTTGTATAAAATTTGCAAGAAAGATGATTTACTGGAGTTTGTAAGTTGCCAAAATTTTTTATCTCTTGAAGTATACGAAATAATAACAATAATAATACATTTTATTATTATTTTATTATTATTATTATTATTTTGTTATTATTATTATTAAAATATCACTTTTATTTAATACATAAATTAAATTCAACAAGATTTTTAAAAAGAAGTTACTATACAAGCTGCGAGATTACGTTCTGTCCCTGTAAATCACACTTTCCTGTCTGTCTCGACTGCAAAGCTATAAAGATTCGATGCTAAGTCATCGGTCATACGAGATGAATAACTTTTATCATTTGTAATATTGTACATGTCATCTGACACATCCAATTCCATATAATTGTTTCATTACAGATTGTATTACTCGTTAAAAAATGAATATATATGTTTTATCCTGATATATCAAAGAAATATTTGTTGATACGAAAGGAAAAGAATAGAATTATCATCATTGAAAACATTTTAATGCATAAAAACAAAGATTATTTTGAATACGATGTTAAGAATTTTGGTTCTATGCCAAAATAAAAATCAGAAATGACTATACCGATGTATTGTGAAGATTCAACTGCTTACAAAGCGAAAAAAAGTCATCATATTTTTCAACCTAGAAAAATTATTTTTTTTTCATTCTTAAACAAAACGAAAAAATTATTATTATTATTAATTTATAATAATGAAAATTAATTAATTTTTCTGATGTTTTTTTAGTTGGATATAATTCAATATATCTCTAAATATAGATAAAATTTTCAAACAGTTAAGTAAAATTTTGGCAAGTATGTTCAGAAAATAAGATGAAATTTCAGTTATTATTGTTAAAAATCGAATAATCTGGCATTGTGACAAAAGAATTTAAAGATAATGAGCGAAGTTTACTGAGTTTTCGTATGTTCAATGGTCATAGATCTTTCCAGGTTTAGTGAAAAATGATGTTAGAATTACAAGAAAATTCTGACATATTTTAAAGAATCGATAATAATAATAATTGAGAATATTGTAATTGACAAAATTATTTAAGAAAATTTCACTTTACTGAAAGAAAATAAGTAAATTCAATCAAATATCTTCAGAAGCTATAATCACTTTTAAGCAGAAGACGACGAGGAAAAGATGTAAAAATAAGAAAAATCAACAAACGACGTGCAAATTTTTAAGAATTTATTCGATAATCGAAAAATTATTTTCGATTTTCTAAAATTAGTTCCTAAAAATCAAAACCTGAGAAATGTTTCACTACTTAAATATATCAATGTCTAAATTTAGATGAGATTTGTAGAATCGACTTATATGTGTATTTTTGTATTTTAAAGAATTAGAAAATTATAAATTAAACTGTTTAAATTGTATTTTAAATCATTAAAATAGAGAAAATTCAATTAAAACTTTTAAAATTTAAAAAAAGGTATAAAGTTGCGATTTATGTTCTTATATAAATCGCATAAATTAAAAAAGATATGACACATTTAGTATTTGTTATAAGTGATTTTTTAATAAATAATATGACTTGTTTATAGGCTTATTAAGTTATATAATCTTTGAAAAAGTAAATTAAATGAAAATTAAATAAAAAAGTTAACGTATGCAGCTCATAAACAAAGTCATGAGGTACCTTGTAACATTCGGCCTTTGGGACTTAAGCCAAAAAGTCCGAATCGATTGAAGACTTTGCCAAAAACTCTTTACCTCGTCCGAGGTGCAATAGCACATAAGATAAAAAAAAAATTAGTTTTATTTTTTGTCAATTCTTATCTTTTAAGTGCAGCGAAACCCATTTTTATATTTTATACATTATATAAACGTAACATCAAATATATATTTGAAAGGTAAAATATTTGATATCCGAGAGATATTGTTTGTTCAAGCTACCTATATATATTGTAAAGCTTAACATTCGGGTCGATATACTAAAAATAGAAACCGGGTCCTCGTCATAAGACAAGCGGTGAGAAGAAGAAAAAAGAAAAAAAGTAAAAAAGTCAAGCGAAAACAATAAAAATACTTTTCATTAATCTTTAAGATGGACAGAAATTTTATTTATTATTTTTAAAATTTTTTTATAATTATATTTAAACAAATCATTTGTTTTATAAAGTGAAGTTTAACGTCTTAAAATAGTCCATTTTCAGTTTTCAAAGAAGTTTATAAATCTGGCAACACTTATTAACTCATAAATCATTTAAATTGTTATCAATTAAGCCAAACGATTTATTAACATTATTTTAACTCGCCAGATGGCGCGATTATTACTGTTGCCAGTTTTTAAGCGGAAATTACGTTTTAAAAGGTTCGTGCCCGCATTATATAAGTTAAAGAAAGATGACAAAGAAGAAAATTGCTTTAGAGAAGGCAGAAAATGAGCTTCTATCATGAATTTTATTATAAAAAAACATTCTTCGAATCTCGTCAATCAAACTTTACGTTGATAATCATGCATTTTTCACCGTGAAACATAAGAATTCCCATGAAATATTGCAACGGGGGAAATTCAATCTATTAAAATAAATCTCATAAAATTCTTAGAAAGTTAATAAATTAACAAAACAAGAATTTATTTTATTTTTTAATTTAGTCGATCAAAATTCGATATTTAATTACTTCCACAAGAAGTTAATCTGCTTTAAAAAATGTTATTAAATCTTTAAATTGATTACTCTAATAAACCCTAATCTGACAAAATTTCTCATCTATAGAAAGTCNAAATTATCATAAAAAAAATTTAAATCAATCAAAAAATCAGAAGTTAATTTTGAATTTTTTATAAATTGTTTGGAATGAATTGTTCAACTTTTTTGAATTTTGGAAATTTTAAGTTAATTTTTTTAACGTTTTCGTATTTTAGATAAATTATTTCAAGAATTCAGAAACCAATTCGAATAACTTACCAAAAATTCAGAAAAATTCACAAATTACAGTACTTAAAAAATGCACCTAAGAAATTAATTTTAAAAAATCTCAAAAGTGCATTTGAAAAAATAAAATAAACTTTTAAAATTCATATTTTTCAGGTTTACAAAATTCAAAAAAAAAATTGAAAAAAAAAATTTACTCTAAAAACTTAAAATATTCAAAACTCGTCCAAAAATTTTCAAAAAATAGGAAAACTCCAAAAGATATTTTCAAAATTTTTTTTCCCATAAACGTTGAAGGTAAATTAATCCAAAAACTTTCCAAAAAATTATTTTTATAAATCTAAAAAGTCCGTATGAATAAAATTCAGTTAACTTTATAAACATAATATTATAAATTTTAAAAGGGTTGATTTGATTAAACTAGAACAATTTAATTTTAAAAAAATCTACAATATCCAAAAACACCCCAAAAATTTTTCAAAAATTTTTTATAAATGTAGAAATTAATAATAAAACTACGAAAATTTTTGGAATTTAAACTAAATCTAGAAAATAATTGCTTCTAAAAAATTAAACTTGTAAATTAAGTAAATTATTAAAAAGCTGAATTAAAACAATAAATTTAAATTAAAAATATATTTAAAAAAACTCCAAATATTAGATGAAAAATAAATTATTGTTTATGATTTTTTTCAAAAAGAATTTTTTTGAAGTTTTTTTAATTGTGTTTTTGATCCTGAATTGATCATTTATATTTGATTTTTGATAGATACTTCATAATCTTTGATTGATCCTTTCCAAAGCATCCAAAGTTTTGGGAAAGCATCATTTATCAAGAATCATTCTTAAAGAATCAATCAAGGATTATTCATAAACGATCAATTAAAGATTATACGAACTAGTCAAAATGATCAATTGATGATCATTAAGGAATATTCTAAAAACTATTTTTAAAAATAAAAAAAAAACTCCCCAAAACCAAAACACATTGATATTCTTCAAAATATTGATTTTTTACAAACGATAACATCAAATTTTTCAAATTAATATTTAAATATTTTTCATTTTAAAAATCGACAAAACAAGCAAATAGACTATTCCAATAGAATTACTATTATTTACCTAACTAACTATTGTACAGCTAATTAGAATACAATTTATTTGAAATGCTCTCTTTTAATATAACAGAATCAATGTGGTATATTTAATGCAATTTATTCATGTTCAAATTATCTATCTTTATATAAATTATATAAAATTAATCTCAAACACAGAATTCCATAAACAACACAGGAAATAAATATCAAGTGTAAAGGAAGCGTGATATTTTATAATAAAAACACCCTAAAAAATTAAATTAAAATAGATTTTTAAATCATAATATCAAAAATTATTAAAATTTATTATTTTTAAACACCTTTTCTCAATTAACGTTTTTCTTTATAAATTCCAAAAAGCCACGCAAAATGTTAAAATTCGAAGCTAATGCCATCTGGTGAAACTGAAATAATTCAAATATATAAAATTTTTTATAATTTAAGCCTTAAACGATTCTTACATACAGATTAAATAAATAAAAATAGTTAATAAAATTAATTTGTTTAATTAATTATTTTTTAAAAATCATATTTTTATTTTTATTTATATAAATAAATTTTATAAGTTTCAGCACATGGATAACGATGTGTACATAAAATTCTCATGAAAGATATTGATATATTATGAAAATAAAATTATTTCTAAAAATCTTTCGAATATTTCTGATAACACGTTATGAAATATTATAAAATTCGATCATATTTTATAACGACAATCATAAAATATCTCCTTGATAAAAGGTCGTAACTCTTCTCTAACTTAACACATTTTTAAAGCTTATAAAAATAATAAATATTATAAAAAGTATATAATATTTTAAGCAAACATAATCATTTATTATATAAAATAAATATTTTAAAAATTTTATATTTACTCTTTTAAAAAAATAAATAATCAAAGACCATAATGAATTAATCAAAGACATTTGTAAAGGATCAATCAGTGATCCTTTATGATCCATGATTGATCTTTGACATTCATTTCTATAAAAAAATTTTTTAAAACCTGAATAGAAAATTACAAAATTTTGTGAAAAGCATAAAATACTTTTTGAAAATAGTTATAAATGTGTA